TGGTAAGGGTAACTGTTCTGACTAGGTTACACTATAGGCGAGCAAGAGGTGACTTAAGAGTCTACAGTATAAATACCTCCGTGGACTTGTAACTGACGCCTTTCCATCATCCCCACATCCTTCCTCTACCTTCACCCCATATGCTACCCCTCCCCCTACCCCATATCCTGACCCATCTCTCCTCTCCCATTTTATCACCGTTCGTCTGGCACCCCATCGTTAAGGTTACACCACTAACTTAGCTCTCTTCTCCAGCGGTGGAGTTCGAGGTTTCTCCGCCCGACGTAACGGAGAGCGGCTATGCCGTTATGTGCCTGGGTATTGCATATGTTTTGTTGTCAACTAGAATAGGCACGATGAGGATAAAAGGGTAGGGTTATGTTGGTCAGAGAAAGTTTGGGCATAATGATGACAGGTATGTGACGTTATGGTGGTATTTATGATGTGTGAACGCGCGATACAACAGTGTTTGTTTAACTCGGTTAATCATAGAATGTGCTTGAACGTTGTTTATTTATTATTATTATTATTATTATTAATGTCTTATTTTCCAGTATTTTCGTTTTCTTTTTTAAGTTGTCTGAGGCTGGAGGGAGTGTGGTCGGTCGTGTCATGTTTTGGAGGGAAAATTAAGCACCATTTCTGTCGTAGACTTTCAGGGTATTTATGAATTATAAGGCATAAAAGTGTCACAACCTTTTAAACTCCTTTCTTATAAATAGTGACCCCCAAAAAATTTAACCTAGCAAAGCGGAGGTTTTGAGTGAACGCAGCGAAAAACGTAGATCATTTCGGAATTTTTAAAGGAAGTAATTGATGAAGAGCGCCAGTTTTAACCAGCTAGAATTTTTCTCCAAACCAGTCGGACCAAAACATTACTGCAACAAATTCACATCAAATGGAGTTCAAAAGTTAGCCTCTACTGCTTTCATCCCAGTAAACGAAATACAAAGAAAAAATCCTACAATATGTACACTTTTACGGGAAGTTGGTAATGAGTTGGGAGCGGAGCAAACTCAAAAACTGGCCCCGAAACAAGTTAAGTAAGGGAAATGAAAATTAGAACAGCCAGAAAACTCGAGTGAGGGCAATCGGGTTTAGGTTTGTTTTCCCCTGAGGTGATTGCCAGTGTGTGTTTTCTGGGAGTTGGGGGTCGAGTGTTTGATGACTTTTTAGAAGCTTGCAGTCGGTTTACTTGCCTGTATTATCTTTTTTCGTTTCATTGATCACGTGGCAGAGTTGTGTAATTCTCGGATATTTGCACTTTTTATCCCTAACTCATGATTGAAGTGAGAATACGAGTAGTTTCGTTAGGTTCGCAATACAGTTCCCCGCCAATTTAACTTTCTTCTTTGTTTCGTAGTTTGAATAAGCCAGCTGTGTGTATGCTCTCTTCCCATGATAAGGGGAAACAATAAAACAAAATCGAACTATGTTTCTTTTTTAGAATGCTGACTTATATTGTCATATACACAGTTCCTATGTAAGTGAACCCTGGTATTGGAAACAGTATAGTCAACGTTGCTTCTGCCTCTCCGCCTTCTCGTTATTCTGTTACGTTTTCAAAACTCTAATGTTTCGTTGGATATTTTTCGCACCAGTCTCCGGTGTAGTAATTCTGTTACGTGGAAGGCTTGTGCCTGGATACAAGCTGCGACACGTTACTTTCCCACACATCTCTTCCTGTTACTGACATGACACTCTTCAGCACCGTTACTTTACTTTTATCCCCTTGCCTTTAGTGGTTCGACTGTCAGGTACATTTTACCTCAGGGAGAGTCACTGATCACCACATTATCACCATTTGCATGTACTGTACTCGATAATTTAGATGTTCTTCTGGTACGCTGCTGCCCATACTTTGGTGGGGACGCCATCCTTTTGGGGGTAAATTATTATTAACAAAAAAATTGTATTGGAATTTCTCAAAGGTACGTAGACCGATGTGGATGATATGTAGGTTGAGCAGCACCCTGGGGAAATAGTCGTAGGTCTTTCCTAGATAGACGTGAGTGTTGTCCATAATTGACTATAAAATCCACTTGTTTTGATGAGGTGTCAGGTTATGGACAGATAATTCGACCTAGACAGACAGAGGATCCACTTGTGTGTTCACCGGAGACGCTTACAGCCGACCCTCAGGTGTGTGAGGCAGATTATTCACTCCTTCCTAGATAGAATATCTCTTCCCACCCTTCTTGGATAGTCATAAATTCCTTTAATTTGACGCCGGCAAATCCAAAGTTTCGCCTTACACTCGTACACTTACACCCCCCCCCCTCACGCACACATGCACGTACTGTACCTATATATATATATATATATATATATATATATATATATATATATATATATATATATATATATATATATATATATCATGTAGATACAATGAAAACGTGGATGACATCATTATGACCTGACCATGTTTTAAGGTCACCCTGTATATTTAAGCCTCTCTCCGTCCATGTAATCCAGTTGCCTCTGAAGATGTCTTGAATAAAGACGAAAGCTAAGGTGCTCCGTTGTTTCCCTTTTCCGTGATTTTATCGATATATATATATATATATATATATATATATATATATATATATATATATATATATATATATATATATTATACAGGCCTATCAAACGATCGCTTCTAGCACAGAAGTGAGTGGTTCATAAGTTTATTCCCGTCTATCGACACATCGTCAGAGGCAACTGGCATTTACCAAGTTGGTAGTGGTAGCAATCTTTCTTCATCACAAATTAATTGTTTATGTTCAGCTTGTGTATTAACAAATAATAGATACTTTTTATACCCGTCACACATCAACAATTCGAACCCCGTCTCCTTGACCCCCCCACTCACCACCATATTACAGGCTCTCGTAAACAAGCGTTCAAGGTGACCCATAACCTGCACCACAGCGGCCTGCTGAATCATTACGGTAGACACCCTTTTCCGCCTCATTTCCGCTGCATTTCCTCCCTAACTGCGTCACCCTTCGATTTTTTTTGGATGTCCCGTTAGTGAGTGCCAAAATATTCAATGCCAGCTCGTTCTGTTGAGGACCACAAGAGCCTTTAAAAACCACGTTGTAAATGATCTTGTTCAGTGAGGTTAAAAATCCTCTCTGGTGGAGCCATTATGAACAGAGGTGTAATTTGTCATGATTACTCAGCCTCCTCCCTCACACCTGGTGCACCTCTCACGGCTCTTTCTCCCTCTCTCTCCGTTCCCCTTTGTTTTGGTATGACTCTCTCTCTCTCTTCCTGTGTCTGCCATTTTGTTCTTTCTCTATTTTGTCTATCTTTGTCCCTTCTCCTTATTATCTCTGCCTCGTTCTCCCCTTTACTTCAATTTTCTCTCACTTCTTCCTTCTTCTATAGCCTGTCTCCCTCCCTCTTGTCCTTCCCATCTTTTTACTTCCGCCTTAGCTTCCCTCCCTTCGCCCATACCTCCCTTTCCCTACATCGTCTCTCCCTGTACCTGCCTCCCCCTTCCTTTACTTTCTCTGCACCTGCCTCTCCCCTTCCTCCTCTATCTCCATCATCCCTCCATTCCCTACTCGCCTGACACACATTCTCATCATCCACTTACCATCATCCACTCTCAATTTTCTTTAAAAAAAATACCCTAGGCATCAGCTTATCATTCCTCTTTAATCATCGGCCAGTCCATCAACTAAGACTCAATGCCCGTTAAGTAAATTGCTCAGTTGGTTATATTAAAGTTAAATGAGAAGCTCAGCTGGAGGTGATGGTGTGGCTGAAGGTTGACTTACATCAAGGAGACTAAGGTTGTTGTTTTTTTCTCACATCTTTATACTGACTAGAAAATTCTACTTTTGTAAGAGAATTATCAGGTATCTCTTTTGGAATTATGTGAATCAATAAACAACTGAGTAAAATGTTACTCATTTATTATTCTGTTCGAAGGATCTACAGGCAGTGTATATATCAATCCCAACTTCAAGAGAAACTGGTGATTAAATGGAATACATGTATCTAGTGTGGATATTCATTTATAATCCCGCGAAATAGTGGCAACTGACTTATTTACAGTGTCAGAAAATTTTTATTGTCACATTGCCTTTCAAACTTTCGTGGAGATCGCATGAATGTACAGGTATTACTACAGCAATATTTTCTACACTTGTTGATGTTGAAGGTCTACTATGAGTAAGAACAGTGATGCTGTTATAATACAGACAATTACACGATCACCAAAGAAAGTAATTCTATTTTGACAACCTGTACGTACTTGTATTTTAGTAGATCTTCGTTGGCTTGAGAACGCAAGTAGATACCAGGAAGCGGCAAAGGTACAAGGCTCGCTGCATTTCATGCAGGGTCATTTTATATTCGAGAACCCTAAGTGATTACTATATTTTAAGACCTGCAATAAACCGGAAAACACCACAATGACTTAGAAATGCGATTTGACATTTCCTAACGGATACATTCTTGATGTAATCCGGTAATACATCATGAGGAAATGAGCTCGATACAGATTCTGTGGATAGGTATCAATTGTTACTTAATGCAAAGAAATCCCCGTCTGTCGTAAAATCAGCAAAGAAAATATCAGGCAGACATATATTGAGGCATCCATACTACAGTATTTCTGTCATTATGATGCTTGTCTCTTATTTAATGATTGTAAATTTGATACAAAATAATAAAAAAGGTTATAGTTGAAGTTCAGAGAGTGAAATAACGAGGTTGCTTAAATGTGGTTAAGAATCGCCATCGTAAATTGTAAATTTACATTTTAAGAGACCTGACCACCTCAAACAACATCCATAATTTCTTTCTCGTGCAGCAGTGATAATAATGATAGTTGTTAAAGCACAAGACTACAATAAATGCATTGTATTTTATCAATTTATAGACTAAAAGTGTATCAGTATTTCACTCCTTGGTGCCATGTGGCTTCACTAGTACATGTACCCATATATCTAATTATTTCTAACATTTTATTAATTGGTAACCTTTGACCTTTACTGCAGACGAAACGTCAGATTTACTACTCAGCACTCGACTACGACCAGTCCTATGAAACTTTGAGAGAGTCTTCACTCGAGCCTGAGGCACGTCCTACGGGTCACCTCCCCATCGCCCCGCACTACCCTTCCGACCCACACCAGGCTCCAATTTATGAACCCACAGCACCTGTCTATGAACCCCCAGCACCTTATTACAGGCCTGAACCTAATTACAGGCCTGAGCCTACTTACAGGCCTGAGCCTACTTACAGGCCTGAACCTACTTACAGGCCCGAGCCTACTTACAAGCCTGAACCTACTTACAGGCCTGAGCCTACTTACAGGCCTGAACCTACTTACAGGCCTGAACCTACTTACAGGCCTGTAAGGCCACCGCCTCCTTCATACCAAGAACCTGCCTATAAGCCCCAGCCTAAGCCATCATACAGACCTAAGCCAGTGTACCAGGAACCTTCCTACCAGGAGCCATACCAAAATGAGAACCCCATCCCTGGCGAAGCTGGTGTTGATTATCCCATCTACCACGAGGTGAGAGAACCATCCAAGTAAAGAAGATGATAGTAATATTTTGTTACATTTGTGATAAGAGGTTAGCTTTATTTGTTGTTACTTTGATATACCTGTACAGTGTTGTATTTTGTTCCTTCAAAGTATACTGTACCTGGTACTCTTATACAGTACTGAATATAAACTAATGAAGAAATCACCAATGTAATGGATCCAGTGTTATTCCAGAAACTAATATAATTAAATACCCATTGCTCTCTGAAGCTTGTCCAGTACTGTATTTACAAAGTTCAATATTTAGTAGTAATGAAACTGCCATCAGTATCATATCCTTGCCTTGCTTCCCGTAAATGTTAGGACAATATCTTATCCTAGTTTTATTTTCAACCTTGCTTTCTATTTTTCCATCAGATCCCATACACAAAGTTCACGTGTGATGCTGTCCCTTACCGCCCAGGCATGTACGCAAACCCTGAGGCTGGCTGCCAGGTAAGTGTTCCTCCTGACCTTCATTTATTACTTTTTTCTACAGTATAAATAGCAGTCATTGTGTGAAGACAATGTAGTCTGTGTTTTGTTCAGTGGCATTACCCATCATAAAAATAAAATGAATTGGGTAAAAGTGTTACTGAAGCATGATTGGACACAAAAACTTAACATTCTTTCCACGGCTGAACAAAATTGAAATCACCAATGCGTCATATTTACTCCACCACTTAAGTGATCTTGTGTTATTTAGGTTGAAGCAATTTTTTTTAATACAAAAACCTATTTTCAAGTAATTACCACATCACATGACCTTAACCAATGCAATGCCAGATGTACAGTACAGTATACATACTGTACATGTATGTCCATCCCCTTCATTTCTAGTGCATCCTCCTTCACTCCAACCTTCCATCTCCTCCTTGGTCTCTCCCTGCTGTCATACATCTCTGAATCATATGCTCTGTTTACCAACCTTCCATCTCCCATACTCTCATTATGTCTGGACCTCTTGAGCAAACCCTAATCTACTCTCTGCCTAACACTTACTTCTACCTGTGTTCTTATCTCCACATCATCTCTTTCACTTGCATCCAAAGCCCAAAGTGTAATAAAGTCTGCTCAACAATTTCCCTGAACCTGGAATGTGCATCCTCACCATTGCCCTTCATTGATATTGTTCTCTTTCCATACATTTCTCAATCCACTTATTAATTTGTTGCCTTCTACTGCTGTGGTTAAATTAACTGCTCATGGTTCCTTTACTAACAGATTCACTCGGTTATCTTCAACGCCACTCTTCCTCCATTCCGTAATTATTTAAGTTAATATTATATCTCCTTTTTTCTTTCTCTTCTGTTCATTATCAACTTTCTCCAAGTGCATATTCTTCCCAACTCATTCATTAACATTCATAACTTTTTTTCTGAACAGTTAATTGCAGAATTATTAAACTGCAAATGGCAGCTTATTTGCCTCGCATTTACATCCTGAATCATCATTGAAAACATTTGCGCATGTTGTAGTCCTGCCTTCACTGGGAACCTGTTACTCTCTTCCCAACAAATAAATAGCAGGTGAATTTCCTGCATTTGGTGTTGCTCATCAGGTCCAACCCATTGATTCCTGTAGGTCATACAGATATGCAAGTCATATTTTTGCATCTCAAGTACATTAAGCCTCACTAATCTTTCTGTCTGGCTGAGTATGCCTCACCCTCTTACTCCATCACTGTTACATTGTCTTTATCCTTGTCATTAAAGACATCATGAAAGATGGAAAGGATTTCTTTTGAAACACACTAGTCAAAATTTTACCCCGAGATAACCATCACACTTTTGTGTGCATAAATAGTGTTGTACTGTATAATTGCTACTCATTTCTTTATACAAATAACTATTGATGAAATTAACAAATTGAACTGCCTCATCATGCTCAGTTTTCAGTTTTGGGTAGCATTTCAAAGTGAGCACTTACCAATGAACTATGCACTGATTACTCGTGTATTTGTGTCGCCACTTTTACATGTACAGTAAAACCAAGATATTTGCCAGCCATTGCTTCTCAACACATACCACGTATACACACACAAATACACACTGCTCCCAACAAGCTTTATTTCTGTAAAGTAGGATGATAAAAAAATTCCCTCACCTGTAGTGTGTTTCCATTGGTTTCCAAAACAAAAATTCTTCTTAAACTTTATTAATGCGCATGTACTGCACCTTGGGAATACAAGTAGAACAGCAAGACTGATGATGCACCATCTCATCAAGTTTTTTCATGTGTTTGATAAATTCACTTTATCTTGAATTAGTTAAATTCGAACATGGACAGATTTAACTATATTTATTGCTTTTCTTGTAACATAACACAATATCTTGAACACAATATTTTATAAGATTTTCTCCGGTCACACGAACTTCACCAGAACAGGCAATGTGGTATTGTATCTCACTTTGTATAACACTTCACATGTTTTCATTGACTCTCTTTGTAACATGAGGCAGGCCGAGATGATTCGGCCATGTGGAGGAAGAATGGATAGAGAATGGATGATACCAATTGGGTCAAGAGGTGCATGAGCCTAAATGTGGAAGGGAGGTGAGCCAGGGATTGGCCAAGAATGACATGGGGAGAACTTGGAAGAAATGATGCTAGAGTTAGGAATCTGACCAGGGGGACTGCAAGAGACCATGCAGCATGGAGAGCTGCTATCAGGTAACCACAGCTACCCCACACAAGCCTAGAAAATTGCCATGAAATGGTGGTGGTGATGAAACTACCTGAAATCAATGCATTTGTGTTGAGAAATAAGAAACTAGCTCTGTGGGTTGGTATTCCAGACTCTGCATCTCACCTTTCAAGCAGCTGGCAAATCTGTAGTCTCACAGGAGATACACATAACTAGGTGGCTAATTACACTTGTTGGAACCAATTAGTGACAACCCTGTGTCATTCATCACAACACAATCCCAGCAGCTGCTATCTCTACCTATTGCTGTACATTATCAAATTTGAAGAAAAATTAACAATTAAACCAGTTAGAGTACTGTACTGTTCTTTGTAAGTTGACAAGAGGGAAAAGCACTGGAGTTATTTCAGCCACATCTGGAGTCAGAGTATTACAAGTCCCAAGTCAAGTCACAAGTCCAGAGAGGCAAGTTTCAAGTCAGATTACACCAGACTCCAAGTCCTCTCAAATACACAAAAATAGGAACTTAAGTTGGGCTTCAGTCCCCATTCTGAAATAAATGTACCCAGCTGCAGAAGAGGCAATCAAACTACATAAAAATCTAATTAGGTACTGAAGATGTTTATTGTTGGATACTTATTGTATTACACAAAATGGCCAGTTGTAGTTATTAAGGTGTACTGATGACCAGTTACTGTATAAAATATTACAACTTCTTCTTAGCTGTACCATGTGTGCCATGACAACCGGTATGGAGCCAGGGGTGCTGAGTTCCTCTGCACTAACGGCACACTTTTCAACCAGGAAACTTTCAACTGTGACTGGTGGTACAATGTCGACTGCTCTAAGGCCACCTCCTTTTATGAGTGAGTTACCCTGCAGAATTTATGCTTTGGTATATTTGTCAGTCACTACTGAGTATTATTTTTTCTTAAGACAAGCAACAGGAGCAGACAGTCCATCTCACTGCAAGTCCCAAAATAGTTTGAATTATTTTTTTTTAAGAAAACCATATTGGTGAATATTTTCACAATAACAATATTGTTCGCCGCAGGTACACAACATCGCTGTCTATGATTTAATTTTGTGTGATCTGTATAGAAAATAACCTGTTTAAATTACAACTGTCATAGGTATTGACAAATCAATAAGTTATTTTCATATACTCCACAGCCTGAACACTGACCCTGAGCACAATCCCTACTATCAGAAGCCTTATGAAGGGCCCCTTCACATCCCAGCTGATAACTATGCTGTTGATCCTTACCATCCTGCACCTCAGCCTCAACCCACATACAATGCTCCAACCCGCAGGCGATCGAAAAGAAGCCAGTAATGACACTAGGAATCTGACACCTATCTATTACACTACTTAAATAATGTGTAATAGAGCTATCATATCTGTAAATGAGTTAGGGTTACATGTGCTTATTTGTATCGGTGTATTTATTTGTATACAGTAATCTGGAATACAATATCATATATGATTTTTCTCTTTTTAATTCCAACTGAAGAAGTACGAGGTACTTTGTATTCTACAAAGAAAAATATTTACTTTGTTTCTTTGGGTAACAGCTCGTTCCATCTCAGCCTGCCTCTACATAGAACTTCACTAATACCCTCAATACCTACCTGCCACCTTAGCTCTGAACAGGGCCTCCTGTCTTTCAGTGTCACATTATACATCCACCTCACCATTCTCATTTCATATTGCTGGAACCTGCTTATGTTATCCTCTTTAACTGCCATATAACATAACAGTTCTCAAGTCAGCCACATACAATCTTCCTTTCATGTGGAGGGAAGGTCCCCTTGCCATCCATGATATCAACTCCCTAAACTTCCTCCAGCCACTTCTGACTCTTGCACTTAAACTAACTTCAGTATCCCCATCATCACTAATCATGTCTCCCAGGTAACATAGCACAGTCCAGGGACATATCCCATATGTTGATTTTCTCCAGCCTGCACATACTTAAAAGTAGCAACATCCTGCAGTCTGCCATCTACTCCACTGCACTTCTTGTCTACTCATCTTCTACACTCTTTGCTGCAAACACTTTTCTTACAAACATCACAGACACTTTCCACTCATCCTCTTCTTTAACAACTTGTTGTATATAACCAAGTTCATTGCATTCCTAAATTCAAGTATTCTTTTTCCTTCCATATTTCTTGTGCTACAGCCCTTTTCACCATGTACACCTTCATAACCTTCAACATGCACACCAACATGACCATTTAGGTCACCACCCAGTACTATTCTTTCACCAATCTCCGACACTACATGCATCAACTCATCCTTCACTTCCTTACTCAACCCAACTTGTATAGTATATGCAGATATGAGTCATCAGATCATTTCCTACTAGCAGCTTCAGAACCACCTTTTTCATATCTAGCATTTTCACCATTCACTTTTAAACAATCAAGATCCCTACACCTCTTGTTCCAGATACACTCCCCATTGAGAATATCGCATTCTTACTAGCGATCATCCTGGTTGAGCACCTTTCTTGCATGGAGCAGGCATCAAGCTTTCTATGGTTGTCATCACAATCTCAAATGCTCTTCCATGCATATCCACATGCAGACTACAAGCTCTGAACCTAACTATGTCAGGTTCCTTTTTGATTGCACAGTTTCTTGTGGCATTCATTCGTATGAAGTATGGGTGGTGTTTGCTTAGCAGGTTTATGTTTATTCATTGTACTGTTTGATGTTAAGAGTTGGTAACAACCAGAATGGACCCCCCACTCACCATTACAGACCGTTACTGGTAAGCTTGCAATCCAAATTCCATAACAAGAGCAGTCCAATAACCTTGGGGTGACCCTCCATGACACCCTTCCATGCAAGACAGGACAATAAAGCTGGCCTTGGTACAGTATTATACGTTAGGTGATGGAGCAGCCTCTCAGGACACTACCTGAGTTTGGGCTCCTGTACTATAAAGTGAAAGCACCAGACTGTGAAACACTCATCTGATACCCTCTGTACAGACAGCACACCAGCTCAGAAAATGCAGCAGAGACCAGGGGATATGCACAGCTTTGGTTGACCCAATTGCCATCAGGCACATTGAAGCTATTTTATGGCTGGACACCCTTCCTAACACCAACCTAGAGGGTGGGAATTGCTAGCCTGGCAAGGTTGCAACTCCCTGGAGTAATCAGAGGGATATTCATTAGTTACATAAAATCTTCACTTTTCATAATGGTCATAAAAAATCTCAACCTTCATTCAGTATAGTAGAACTAGATGATTTATACCCGAGTAAGTGTGACTCAAACAGAACATGTACTGTACATGACCCATACAGAGCAAGTAAATTTAAGGGCAAAGAATTTAAAATCAAATTAAGACATTTTTGTTAAGATTTATGGATAACACAATATACCAATATAGAAACCTTAAAACATGTGTTATGTTTTAAATGTACATCATGAGAACTCGGTATAACATTTCACAACATTGATTTAAAAAAAAAAAATATAGGCTGCCATTCATCAACATTAATTTTGTCTGAAACAAATCCACTTTAGATTTCCCACAATTTGTGGGGTACCAACCATCATACAAGAAAAGGTTAGCTCAGCCCTGGGACTTGGCACACACAGCAAAACAACACCCACATTTCATGTTTGACAAAACCAAGTCTGTCTCATGGGTTAATAGTGTCACCAACTAAATGGTGGAGCACAATTTGCAAAATACACTGGTATTTGATGTTACAATTTAGTCAGACAATAAGATGTTACTTGTTGAACTTTCTACATACAGCTTATCATTTAACTGAGATAACAATATAATACACCTTTAAAACATCAAAAATACATTGTTGCTTTTAATAACAAAGTGTTACTGATAAGTATCATTTTGTATGACTAATAATACTTCATTAGATTTCACACTACGTGACAATTATGTTTATCACTCAATGTAATACAGTATATGCATCAAGCTAAACATAACACTACAATATAACCATTGATCATAAAATTGTATGACTTCAATTGAAAAGAAAATTTACCTTGGCTGCCATGATTCGTACATCAGCAAACAAACCACTAACATATGATTCTATTTATTGTTCTTCAACTCAAAGTTGCCTTTGCAAAATGAAGATTTCTACCGTCCTTTCTTGAACTTGCTATTTCCGGATTTTGACTTCTTTGCCGACCCGGGCTTCTCATTCGACTGAAACAAAAAATAATTGTCAAATACAAAACAGGTCCTATTAATAACAAACAATCAGACAAAATAATTTTTACAACATATAACACAGATATACTTTAGTGAACACAAAATTTGGTATTGCACCACTGGCCTCCCATACAAGCACAGTTTACTCCAATTCAAAAAATTTGCACTACACTGTCAATAGTTTAGTCCATTAACCACTCCTTTCACACCCAACTTACCTTTCGCTTATTGACACCACTTGCAGGCTGAGGAAGAACCTTAAAGAAGGAGTCTAAGCGACCCTGAGTACTAGAATTCCGTGCCTTTGTTAGTTTTTTGGCACCGTTGCGTATCCGTTCCTCACTGAAGCCTTTCTCTTCGCACATATAATGAATCAAGCCTTCTTCATCTGGTTCCGTCCACTTGATCTAAAATGAGATTTGTTGTCACACTTAAACTGCAAATACAGATGTTATGAGTCCATCTGCTAATGACAAATGAGATTAAATTATTTGAGCCAACTCTGAACTGATGTTCATGTTGTCTTGCTGGTGTTCTCACTAAATGTTAGTTATTGGAAGCACTTTAAAGTCCAAAATGTGAATTGAGTATAGTCACAAGAAACAATATCTTGAGAATTAAATTAAAAGCAGAGTAATTGAAGACCTAACCAACATGACAATGCAAACCAAGTGAAGTATTATAAAGTAATATAATTGTTTCCTGCCATGCAGAAAAATGACCACGAAATTCTCTTCTATGCTGAAAAACTTATTTGGTGTGTAACAAAGTACTAATGCAGTAGTAATATAATATTTTACACCTGTGCCAAAATTTATGTAGTTAACATATGATGCTGTTTACAAACAACAGGATGGACTGAAAGGGGATAACTGTAAGCTTTGTAAGGAACATCATAACAATGTTTACATACAAGAAAACTTATTAAAAATTAAAGACCATAAGGTCTGTAAATGACATCTTCAAAATCCATTATCATTAAGTATAACCTCAATAATGTTGTATCCCCATTAATTCTTTAGTTCATGCAGTAACATTCATAACGGACTTCTCCATCATATTATTATTTTTTCAATACAGTATAATAACCATTACTATTCTAACACTTATTTACTTCTGTGAACCAAAATCTTACTTCAATTTCCTCAGGGTCTTTAACTTCTGGTTCAACGAATAACCTTCTGGCCTCTGGGTAAGGCCAGCTTTCAGGAGGAGAATACTTTTTCTTGTCCAAATTCTTCAAAATTCCTTCAATATTTTTGTGCTTACGAATCAGTTCAATGGCTCGCTTAGGTCCAATGCCTCTGATACTATCACAATAATCACATCCTAACAGAATACACATGTCGATGAACTGGAAAAAATAAATAAATTACAAATGAAACTATGCATATAGGACTGGACTGGGTAAGCCTTAGCCACTGATTAAGGGAACTACCCAAGTGATGGCTAATGATGTTTAGCCACAACGAGTCATTTATTGATGGAGATAGAATTATTGTTGTAGTAAAATTCCAAGTTTTGGTTTCAAACTTAAACCATCATAAAAAGGAGTGAATTTTATAGTATTATTATGCTTTAATCATATCACTACAGCTACAGGCAATAAAAACATTAATTGACCAGTATGAAATAATGAAGATATAATTTATTAGCTTGACACATATGCAATAGCTAGTGTTAATGAGCCTATGTTTAATAGAGGATACATCAATGACAACAAACATTATCATCATCATTGTCATTTTATAGCCATCTAAGAAAGGAAAATTATATAAATATTCATTAGATATTAAGTCCAATGTCTCAATTTACTCATTCTTTCCAAGTAGATACTGTATACTGTAATAATTCAATTTACCTCTATATCATCCCTGAGTAACTAGCAGAAGAATTATATGCATTCTTAAGAACATAAATTGTTCTCACCTCCTCATGGTTAATTTCCATTTCCTCTAAAACCTTGGGCAAGTGGAACTCCTTAATGGGCATTTTTCGAGCCTCACTGAAGGTCATGTGTCTCAGCAGGACGGGTGTGCCAAACGTCAAAGCG